TTATTATAATGTAGGTTCAAGTATATGTATTTGAATTTTTTTTAATATATATTTTACAATAATTTAAATAAATAAATAGAGATATCTTCAGATTTCCAAGTAATTTCTTAGGCGGAATAATTTTAAAGTGAACGTTAAATAAAACTTTATTACTTTAAAAATATTTCTTAAAATTTTTCAAATTAAAAATTTTAATTATAAATTTATCATAATGGATATTGATGTTGATAAGCATAAGAGTACTGTACATCTTGATTGTATTTCGTTCAATGGAATTATTTCGGTTAAGCTATTTAAATATAAGTTTTTCGAATTATTCCTAAAATTTCGCGTAGTCTATTTACAGAAATTTAATAAAGATTGATTTTTATTAAAAAATGAAAAGTACTTTTAAAAATTTTGTTACTAAATGCTGATATATTTAACGAATAAAACTAACTGTCGTCAAAGAATTGAGAAAGTTAAAATTTGCTTAGGATCCAATATGTTGTTTAATTTTACTGTTCAGCATTTAGAAGTGGAAAGAAACGGCATTATAAAAAATAAAATTCTTATATTTTATAATGGTAAGTAAAATTTATATTATATAAATTTAATATATTCTATGAAGCATTTAAAAATTTGATTTGATAAAAATTTAAAGTTTAACAGTTTCTTAATAAATTCTATACTTTTAAATCATAAACACAGAATATTTTGTAAGTTATTTACAATTATTTAATTTTGTAAGTTACTACAAATAGTAATACAATATTAAATTAATCTTGACCTTTATCAATTACTGTATATAGAAGTTCTTTAAAATGGTTTTTAAAATTATATTTAAACTTAAATAATTTATTAGTTTGTACACAGAAAAATAATACATTTTGTATGAAAAAAGTTTCACTAAAGTACAGATTGCTTTAAATATTTAATTTTTTGATTTAATTAAATCTTACTATAGCATGTAACTTCCTAATTGAAGTAGCGATTTTGTAGAAGTAAAATATAAACATGAATGTCATAACGGGAATCCTTGATCGTTAATAGTAACTTGCATTTCTTTATGAATTCAATATCAAATGTTTTTAGTGAGTTATTAATAAAGAATTTTTAAACCTTGATTATTTTAAATTTATCAATTTAAAATGTAATTATAATATATAAATTTTGTGAATGGAGTCTATTCACAAAATTCATTCATACTTCTTATCTACATTGGAATAGAGACATTTTCTGAATCAGTTGATATTTTATTTTGAATTCATTTCTAAATTTTTTATGATAAAGTTTATTTTAATAGAAAATAAAGCGAACATAAAGTCTAGTAATTCAATAAATCTATAAGATAAACTGTTTTTTAGTCTTAAATTTATTGTTCTAGGTTACATAATGCATTATTTGAATTAGTATGTATATAATAAAATATATTTTGAGACAGCATTCTCAATTTGTAAATTAAAACGTTAAGAAATCATAAATGTCAATGAATAAAACTTTGGCCTAATTTTAAAAATGAAATCATGATAATTAATTTTAATTGTTATTGCCTAGTTTGATAAAAATAAATTTGTAATGAATAAATATATATATATTAAACCTATTCAATTTTTAAAATATATATTTACAAAATACAGTATCAAATAAAATCAAATAAAAATAAATGTAAATAATAAGAATGTTGAAATATTTATCTATTCCAGTAAAAATGATTATTATAAGTAAATCTGTGTTTTTATAATATTGGTTTACTAAATTGTTGTTGCGAGTGTATAAATAATAATAATAATTATTATTATTAGAAAAATATAAT